GATACTAACACATATGCACATATTCAATAAAATTTCCAGATATTTTTTTTTTTACACAAACTGCTATATATGTATGTCTCCTTAAAAACTGGTGATCTATGTAGATACTTATGATGATTTCGTTTCTACCAAAAAGTTTTGCCTTTTGATTGCCCCTTTCTCTTTTCGTGTTCGATTCTAAACTAAAGGAAAAGGGCGAGCAATTTGTGTGTTCGTTTCTTAAAATGTCGCACATTTTGCATCGGGGAAGGGCAACATTTTTTGGAAGAAATGAAATCACCAGTGTTAGTGTTTCCCAATGAGTTTTTCATTCGTTTTTTTTTCGATTTCTATTGGAAATTAATATTATGTATATCCAATGCTCGTGCCGCTGTTGATTTATGTATGTACATAAGCTGATACCTATTATTCATCGAATATTTCTGTTTTCTTTGTATTTTCTTCATCTTTGTTTTTGTATCTCCTTTGATTTTGTCATTCTCTTTTCGCGCTTGTTCATTTTGCTTTTTGGCATCGGAAAATTTTCTTGTAAAAAATAAATAGCCTCTTGTTGATCACATTTCGTATCTTTGTTTGGCTTTATTCCAAAAATATTTTTAAATTCAAATATTTTGCAATCTACATACATACATATGTACATGTATGTGTTTACGTATGATAATTTAGCTGCTTAAAAACAGTAATAAAAAGTTGTTGATATTCCGTACGCCTCGTTCAAATAGGTCGGTCGCAAATTTTTAGCCAGCTCAATGTCATATTGAAGTCGGAATTTTCACGTGTCAATAGGTGTGTGTGTGTGTGGAAATCTGCACATATACAGTGACGAGCAAAACTGTAACATGGAGTAACCCCTTTTCTTTCAGCTGTCGCTATCTTTCCAAGTTCTAACGACATTCATACTGTTGTTCTGTATTTTTATTGGTACATCTTTGCTTCCTCTGTCATAACGATTTGAAGTCAATTCAACAACATTAAAGAAACCAGCAGACAAAAATGTAAATTAAGGCATATGTTACAGTTTTGCACTCATGTATTTTTAATAACTTTTTGACAATTTTCACAAAAAAAAAGAATTATTAACACAATGTTCAGTATGGTTTTGCTTTATTTAGTTTCTGGTTGCAATTTGGCATACCTAATGTGCATGTCTGTAAAAATTCTGGAGGTATAGCCTCCCATATATCCTTGGTTTGCTTTCACAGCTCACGTACTCCATTGGACGGACTTGGATACTTAGTAAGATGCGCTTTTAGTTGATTTCGCAAATTCTCGATGAGATTCATGTCCTCGGATTGTGGAGGTCATTTCAAATTAGCAAATTTCTGCTTTTGTTCCAGTCTTTGCGAACATGTGCAGTGTGTTTTGGTTGCTTTTTCAGCAGAAACTCTAATTTTTTCGACTACATCTTGCAAATTTGGT